CCTCCATTAACCTTCGACACCGATAGGAATTAGCGATCAAATCGGACATGCTGAGTGATAGAAACTTGCCAAACAGCTTCAAAAATTCATCTCCAGAAGGAACCCAATGCCGTGGCCCTCTTAGGGAACAGAAACTTGCCCGACAACGTGGATATTAAGAGATGACAGAAGTTTTATTGATCTTTCYCTTCTCACTATTGCGCTGTTGTTAACTGTGAACGTAGAAGGAGAAGCATTCAAAGCAAGCAAACCTTTTCAACATTAACCTCCATAAGTGAATTAAGCAGCACTATTCAACATAAATTTGGAGATCACTAATAGGTCAAAAAATGCGCTTCCTTCTTGCTCTGGGCAATCAAGATTCTCATAGTACAGAAACTCTGCCGCCTGCTATAAGCCTGCTAATTGCTACCCATTAGTGTGATAATCAGAGGCTGACCCCAAGGATGGGAGATAGCAGAAGCCTATTGGATTTCCCTGGCACCAGGGCACGGGCCTGTCCTTTGAAAGGATCAGCCAAGAGCTCATCCTACACGCTTGAATAAGACGATATAATTTAAATTCCTTCCAGGAGAGCAAAGGGTTAAACTCATCCTTAGGCTATCCTGCTGAAATCACAACAAATCTGGGGCAGTGTTAATTAACAGCCACAAGAGATTCTTTTCCCCATTAGCAGCAAAAAAAAAAAAAAAAAAAAAACTATTCCCACACAGCTGTGTTTTAGAAGTAAAGGTATAAACACTATTGAGCGTTTCTAGTTTAGCCCTCCAGTTTAGCATTACAAAACTCACCAGAGAAAGACACTAATTCTCTTCTTACAGTAGTATGTATGTATTAAGCATGCTCTAGCAGGGGTCAATGAAATAAAACCAGTGGAAGAAAGAGAAGCAGAGCTGGGAACAACAAATACAGCCTTGTTCCCCATCCCAATGCAATTTGCTTTTATACACACAAAATTTGTCACACCTGATTCCATGTTCCAACAGCACCAATAGTCTACCTTTAACAGAGCACAGCCCTAGATACTTTGGAGGCAAACAAAAATACCTAGGACCTGTGGAAATGTTCTTCAACCTTCCTCAGCCCAGTCAAAAAACAAAAAGCAACAACCCCCCCTCACATACAAAACACCAACCCTTAATTCAGGGAGGAACAAGTCCACAGAGATATACAACCATATCAGGAGGTTCTTGCAAGGCACTGAGCAGCTCCTGGGTGGTCATCACCTTTCCTTTGCTCTCTGAGGGGTATTTCATACCTCAGAGGGGGTGTGATGCAGTCAAATAGGCGTGCACCCTATCTATTCAGCAGAAGGGAAGCTYTAATCAGTAGATACTGAAGGCAGCAGAGGCTGTTTGAACATCTCTCATGTTACCTGGCATTTTCTGCAGGTGCCTTTTCTCAGCATGGATGTAGGAGAGGCAAAAGAAAACTGGATTTTTTTTTTTTCTCATTTGCTTAGTSATGCTATCTGCAGAAGGACTTCAACTGATATGGCAAGTCTGGATTGATTTGGCCTTTGCTTTGTCTGTCAGAGCTACATAAAAAAAAAAAAAAGAGCAAAAAGAGCAAGAATATTCATTTAAGGGGAAGTATAGAGGATTAGTGTAAACTGTAGCATATTATGGCACAGCTTCCATAGGTCTGTTAACTGACCGTATGAGAAATGCTAATCCCACCCTTGTTGATATGCAGTGAATTAGCTCTGCTATTTCCTGAGTCCACTAACAGCCTTGCAGCTTTTAGTGTGTTTATCCTCACATCATTTCCTCTAAAGTAATTAAGAGCTATTAATACCCCCTTTACATAGGTGAGAAATTAATGCAAAAAAAAAAAAAAAAGAGAGATACACAGGCAGCCTGCCAAGTCTTTTTAAATTAAAGAGAATTAGGCATCTAAATACCTAGGTGAAAACTGGCATTAAAGGAGTCACCTGCTGCCGGGCAAAGAACAGGGTTCATAGCAAGAGCATTTTCCCCCACTTTTGGCCATGGGAAATAAAAGAGCATCAGCAAGGAACAGGGTTCATAGCAAGAGCATTTTCCCCCACTTTTGGCCATGGGAAATAAAACAGCATCAGCAGGAGCACTCCTTAGCACACTGTGCTTCCAACTGTGCAGAATTTCGGTGGCAGAAATGAGGTGGGGATGGCTGCAAGCACCCAAGGGAGACACCTTGTGCTCATCCCACCATGGCCTGCCCGCCTTTGCTCTCCACGGGACAGCTCTTCTTGTGGGATATGGGAAATGCCGGGCAGCAAGGAATGGGGAACTGCCAATTCCTTCCACAAACTCCATTTCTAATGTACAAATGTGAAGGCCTAGCTCCTGCTTGCCTCTGTCATTTTATTTCCTTAACATCTCGTGAGCTTTGCATCGAGCAGCTCTCTTACAGCAGTGAAGTTGTGAAGGAGCCTTGCTGTATTTTGAGCAACGATTTTGAACTCCTTGAGCAGTTATCTGAGGTGTTGGGAAGTCTGGAACAACGTGGAATAGCTCTGACYCTCTACAATGGTCCAGGAGGAGAAACACACATCCCTGGCAGATCAGGGATGTGCTAACATTCCCGGCACGAACACAGATGATTCAGAGGTTCTCTATCTCACCTTTGATTTGGCAGTTATTTTGTTTCTTTGAAACTGTTGCTTAAAACATGCTGTGCTGTGCTTAAAATATGCACACAGATGTTGCATTTACAGCCCACTSTAATAAAACCACTGATGTGTACCACCACCCTCAAAGACCACATCAAAAAGTTTCTTGCCAGCAATATTTGAAAAATGAGACAGCATGGTAAAACTGCTGGAATTCTAACGTTAAATAAATGGACCTTTTATATCTTTTATCTTCCTCCAGGACTGATCTTGCGGGCTTCAGTTTACTGGAGTTGTCTCCAAGTCAGTTGGCATAAAAATATAATTGTGCACTATTTCCATCTACTTCCAATCTGCTAGGTCACACAGTGTTCAAGCCAAAGCCTTCTTAGTTGGTGGTTACTGGTGGACTGTGATTATAGATTTATTCTAACTGATGTATGGAAAAAGTTTTGTCTGTTACAGGCATTGCAATAAACTATCTGGGAAATCAAAGAGCTGTGATACATTTGCCTGTCTCAGGGCTGTTCTGTGCGTGTGAATAACTCTCTCCTACTAATTCTTATCTCCAGTGTCCCAGTTTCTCCCACTACTAGACTGCCTCCCTGTCAGTCACTTACTGTTTCAAAAGCACCATTTCTAAATGGTATTTTCTCTTTTGAGAGGTGACCCACTCTTTTACAACGGAATGAATGAGAAAAGTAAGCGGAGAACAACAACAAAGAGGAGCTGAAAGAGCATATTAGGAAAAAAAAAAAGAAAAGAAAAACAACTTATGTCATTTATTCATTTCATAACTAACTGCTTCTCCTCCAAGTAATTGTGCCATGCTGGAGACGGGCATAGTTCTCATTAGATCGCATGGCTCTTGTAAACACAAAATTGCTTTAGTGCAGACATGATTCATAAAGGCAGAGCAGATAGGTTGGCAGAACAGGACGCTCAACAACGTGGATAGGAGCATACGTAGAAATCATGATGAAACTTTCCAGAACGCTGAGGGTTTTTTCTTTCTACAGAAGAAATGACTGGGAAGTATGGTAAATTCCTGCCGCAGGATCTGTGTTCCTGCCTCCCCGTCTACAGGGTCTTTAATGGTTTCTCTCAGGCTCTCTCTTCCTTGTCTGTTCTCTTGGAAAGGACAGCAATTCATTGCACCCAGGCAAGAACAAAGGTGCCTTAGAAAGCCGTTCTCTCACACAAAACATCTGTGATATTTTTATTTCTCCCAGTTCTGCATGTTTGTTTTCATTCTGCAGCTTCCAACAATTTTGGAGGGCTGCATTCATCGTTTATTTTTATCTTGTTTCCATGGCTCATAAAGAAAGGCACAGTACCTCATCGTGCCAGGTAACACTAGAATGTTTTTGAAGTGGTTTTGCTTAAAAACTTCTTTGTTCTTCCCTGGTGCTGTGCCCCTCACACCACAGCTAAGCTGGGTTCGAGCCCGCATATAGTCAGACCTGATGGACCAGTAGTGGACTGGGAAGACCCAACATTTACCCTCCCTCAGCTGGGCCAACAAGACACAACAGCTCTTCATGCAAGCCCATGCTGGACACTGCTGGGGAACTTAGCCTGGAGGGCACGTGTGGGATGTTCCCACCAGACCCCAGYTGGGTTTGGCCCTTTCCATTCTCCATGCAACTTCCACCAGGTAAATCTTTCCTCCTGTTCGCAGGCTCTGATGCCAGGCAATGGCAATAGGGGAGGCAAAAGACAGCTGGGRCATCTCCCCAAGAGGGTGGCTGCCCATCTCTAATGAGTTGCTGCCTCCTGCCTYTGTGCGTGTGGCTGCGCGCTAGCACTGAGCAGGCTCAGCATCTGAACGGGGCTTTGCAAGGCAGGCRGTGCAAAGCAGTTTTATTAGCCAGCCAATCACACGAATGCAACCAGTTGCCCTTTAAGTGGTTGTTTTAGTATGTTTTTGCCCACATAAATGTGTCGTATAATTACAGAGTGATCAACTGAAGTGCTGGAGCAGGTGTCTCTGCTTGTTATTTATACACACTGCATGACATTTAGCTGGGAAACAGCAAATACCTGTGTGATAGTACCTGCAACAGCCCTAGCCCTGCCACAGAGGAAAATATTCTTAAAAATAACACGCAGGGATTGATGTCACCCTATGCAGKCTTTTTTTTCTTCTTTAGGAAACAAACGTCTCAAGGAAGGCGTCTCCACTTTCCTCTTTAACATGTYTGGCCACGATGGAGACAAAATAGATGCAGCTATTTACTTATTTCTTCTTTGTGTTAAGAATTACTTTTTGAGTACTCACCACTATCTGCCCGCAAAACTTCAACAGCATCAACTGTGCACTTTGGAAAGCAGGCTATTCCATGTCTACATGTCAGGCCCCAGTGAAATCCATCCAGCTGCTATGCCACAACTGCTACCTGGTCCACCTTCCTTGGGAATTGCTGTTTACACGGCTGTCATGAGGCTGGGGAAATGCTACATGTCCTGTCACTTCCGAAAGGATGGATCCTCAAGGCTGTGGAGCCCTGGAATGGTTTTCTAAGGAGAAGAAAAAACAAGCTAGTTTTAGTATAAGGAAAATAGTTATATTAACTGCACCCGCCAAATGGAGCTGCCTGGGTAGAGGAGTTCTGGACCACAATGCCCACCAGTCCCTTCCTGGCTTATTCTCAAACTCTTAAACCACAAAAGGGTTCCTTCCTTTGAATAAAAGGGACAGAGTTTGCCCTTTATATTKCCTTTTAAAGGTGAATGAGAAAAAAAACTGAGGACCTATTTGCAWTCGGATCCCAACAGAATAGAAGGTCATGCAGTTTCCCATGAGCTGTGCCTATTCGCGTCCCCAGAACAATGCCATTTGATCCTGTGAAGTGTTATGAAGCAATGGGTCATGGCCTCTGATGCAGGGATGTAAACTGAGGCCCCTTCTCAGACCTGCTGACACCAATAGGGGAAATTCAGGTGCAAGAGGCAAAAGCTCTGTTGGGTAACGTTCTTTCCAGGACGGAGTGGGTCATTTACTCAGTGACACTTACTCATACCCTTGGACTCTTATTCGTACCCTTGGGCTATTTCCCATTTGCTGATCCTGCACATTTCTGGGAGCGAAAAAGTTTTCATCCAAAACCTGAGGAAACCTCAACAGAAACAAAGCCAGAAGAACTATGGAATTACAACTTCATAGCTCCAAAGGCCTGGAAGCTGGAGACAAAGGGAGTGGATTTCATGGCCGGGCAGAGTCAATCATCCGCATCTCGGCCTTCAGTTAGTCCTTGTAATTAAYGATTAATGAGATGAATATTGGATAAGTAGCTAGAGGGAGGTGACTACCTACAAGAGGCTCAACCAGAGATGGCAGAGCAAGCCACTTGCATGGAAGAACTTCTTGTTCTTCCGTGTGCAAGCTTCCCTCATGGAAGAACTTGTTGTTCTTCCGTGTGCAAGGTTCCCTCGTGGAAGAACTTCTTGTTCTTCCGTGTGCAAGGTTCCCTCACCAAGGCACAATGCAGTAGAACATCTACAGCATGCAATTGTTCCCAGATCAAGCATGCTCCTAGATCCAGCATTACTCACAGTGATGATGCCTGCGCTCGCCACCCCTATAAATAAAGATATYTATTCCACTGTCACTTTTGCTTAACTCCAGACCCCACTAGCTGCTGTTAGGCTGTGGGAGGGTTGCTGTGCTGCAAGGAGAGTTCAGAGGCAGTGCTTTTTTTTCTGTTGGCCTCTAACTACAAAGGAAGAGGGATGACTGCAGCTTTTGTTGAAGACACAAAGCAGGGAAGCWGCAGATGTGTCAGACTCCCTTCACAGGCTGTGTTCTTCAAGTGCAGGCATCTGTTTTTAGAAGGCAGCATTAGTAACTCAGACATTCAGTAACATGAGAGAGATTTCATTTCAATCCACTGCCATGTATTTGAATGGGAAATCAGGTCTCTCTCTCATCACTTGCACAGCAAAAGAGGGCTGTGMGGGAGCTAGAAATTTCAGACAATTCTTGTTCCTTCCCGACATGTGGATACCCATTGTCTTTTAGCTCCATTTTCTATTCAACGCTTTTGAAAAATTATGATTCAGATGGAAAGGAGGAGCTCATAGGTTGGAGCTGCCCTACCTGGCTGGTGTCCTGCGACTACAGTGGTCTGACAAGACTGAAGTTGAGGATCAATTATGATGTCCATCTTCCTACTCAAGCAATTCAAATCACTCTCCTCTTTGTCATTCCATGCTGGAGTTCCCACAAACTCTCTCCTGTTTCTCCAGAGCAGCACCAAGATGTCCCTCAGCTTCCCTGCAGCCTGAAATACTGAGCCTCTCCAGGGCAGCAGTCTATGACTGACTCCTCCTTTCCATGCCCATTTCTATTTAGAAGCTGGAAGGGTCAGAAAACTATAAGATTTGGCTTGCAGGAATCAAATCCTGTATCATATGGGTAAATATGCACATCATAGGAAAGGGTAGGCAGGATTTCTAAGGTGGAAGAGGGCAGCTCCTCTGGGTGGCCTTTCCCTTGCCCTCCTCAGGTAAAAGAGCCTGCCCACACACTCGGATCCCCTTCATTCACTGATGACAGTCACATTGACTTCTCCATGATATAGGTACAAGTTTGTCTCCATATCATACCAGTGTGCTGCTGACAAAGTCAGTATCAGGTACCTCACAATGAACAATAAATATTCGGTAGCTTATATCTGGCGAATAGAAAAGCATTAAGAAAACTTTGATTCAGCTGTAAAGGTCATTTAATTTCCATAAATGCAGAAAACATTCAAAGTAGCACCTGGAATCTCTACTAACTATACATAAACACTCTCCGTGTGAATTGCATTGGTTCCATCCAGGCTACACTGCACGATATTATTAAAATAATTTGCRAAAAAGATCACACTCTGGAAAACAAGCTGTTGAGTGGACTGCACAAGAACACTTGTTCAGGAAAGAATAGACCAAATTTTTGAAAATTAGGTCCTGATGTTTTCCACTGGCATTGCAAGTGTGACTCTAATTGGAAGCTGTCAGCTCTCTGAAAGAAAAAAATGTATTATTGCCATCAGGTGACTGCTTCAGATAATAGCGCCAAATTAAGGAAAAGAACCAAGGTAAGAGTGGGAGGCAATAAATAGAGACAGATTCTACTGTCCTAAAACAGACAGTCAGTCAGTCATATATAAAGGCTGTTATCTAGAATAATATTTATATGATTCTTTTGTAAAATCTCCTAATAATATGCCAGGTATTTTTAAGTTAAGGGAGGAACTTATTATTCCTCCCCATTCTGCCCCAAATTTCCCCTGTGGTTCTGCTGTGGCTTGCTCTATGATGCAGGACAAGTGCCTTTACCCCTTAGCTTACCCCTGATTTTACTCTTGGTCCTTTTCAGCCTGTCTGTGCAGTGCATAATGCAGGCCTTTGGGTCTGGGACTTTCATAATGACATTACTACAAAAGAAAACTAGAATCTAGCTTAGGGGTTATCTGTAACCTGTGCAATYCTTACAAAAGCAACTTATTTCTCCTTAAAGTCAACAGGAACATCTGCAAATGAAATTACGGCTCTTTTTGCTCCAAACTGCTTTTTAAACATACACCCAGACATGTGGCTTAGACTATTTATCTCACTAAAATTCTGCTCTTTTGAATGTGGGTCTGATGGTTTTGAGTAGAGAAGGGTCTGACCACATAAAGCAGGAATGTCTTCTCATGCTGCTGACAATGTTTTCTCTCAAAATGTTGCCAAAATAATTCTGTTTGTTACACAATAATTCTGCTATGGTCTGATCTGCTTTCATTCCTATTGCAAGAGAAAATGAATCACAAAGCAGAGCAATGTGAATAGGCTGGCCATGCTCCACATATTCCAACCAAATGAAGACATCTATTTCCAAAAAAGAGGAATTCTATATCGAGCCTTGCAGACTGGAACGTAATGTTGCGTTTAGCCTGCCTTTTATGGCTGGAAAACCCTCTCCCCACATCAAGCTAACATTTACCTAGGAAAGCCAGTGAGAAGATTTATGACAGAGCAAAGCACCAATTTCAGGGTGTATTTAATCTAGCAATAGCAATTACCRATCAATTAATCTGATGTTTCATGTTACAAGCCCTGCCTTCACCAGGCACTCGCATCCCCTCCCCAAGGCTGGCTCAGGTCACGGGGTGCTGCTCTCACTTTATGTGCTAGTGCTCTGCCACTGTTCTCCCCACTTACATTGATTATTGCTGATTAAAAGTTTACACCACGGTAAGACCAGATGAAACGCACTTCAACGTCATTCCGGAGCTTATGCCATCAGTGAAATAAAAGCCTCTTTTCCAGGCCATGTTTTAAATTCAGGCTGAAGAGTATTTCCTGCAATATATTACCATRCTGGCTATATTTTCAGGCCAAGAAATGGCTACATCCTTGTGCAGAGGGGGTCATGCAAGGGTGACACAGCAGTTACACTCTTCTGGAGGGGAAGAGGCTTTCAGAAGCCGGGAAAAATAATGTCAGCCTTGTGCTATAAATGCCTACAGACTTCCACATGCCAACTGACCTGCAACAGGCACTCTCACAACACGGAAGAGGCTTGGTGTGGTGCTCTCCTCCCCYGCGTGCTTTGCTTGAGTTCTTGCTCTGATTTAATATCTCACACAAAAGGTTAAATCAGCCAGGGCTCGGAGCATCCCACTGATCTCCGGGAAATAAATAAGCTGGTTTCCTGGGAGTTTAGCCTGCAGGTGCTTAGGAAGGAGAGCAAGGGATACAAAGGGCTGTTTAGGGAGCCTATTTTGTCCAGTACTGAAGGTCAGTAAATGGAAAGGCTGCTGCTTTAATAGCGCATTTTTGCTGGTTTAGGCTGGTTTAGGTACAGGCTTAGGACTGTGGCTTTGGCTCTCTGCGCACATTGAAATGTCAGATGCTGTATCAGGGTGATGAATACAAGGTCCTATTCTCTTCAGATGAGGCCCGTGCTCCCTAAATCCTTCAAGGGCTTCTCAAAACCACAAAACACCCCCTTGGTGGGGAGGTCTGTGTGGTTCTCCTTGGTTTGTCTGAGGTTGAAAGCCAAACTTCTGGGCGAATGAGGCGCCCTTCCATACCTAAAATATATTAGAAACTCACCGTGTGCTTATAGCTACTTCTTTAAGGAAAACGGTGTGCTGAACTCGGATTCAGATTATTATTCCTTCTCCTAATTGCTTCCTTCTGAGTTTGGTGGTTTCTTATCCGTCGCCCTCTAGGCTAGTTGTACTGCATAAAGGTTTCAACAAGATGCCTTGATTGCGTGCTGTACATACAGAATCCAGCAAGCTGAGGGCAGCTTATTGTATACACCCTCAGCTACGACTTTTTATCCCTATATGCCAATTTCCTATTGCGTTCGCTGCTTAATATAAAATATATCTTCCTTAGCGGGTTTTACTTTAAAGATGACAAACGTCCTATTACAGAGAGACCTGACAGCGCAATAAATCAATAAAAAAATCAGAATAAGGGGAGAAAACATCATTTCAAATGCATAAAACTGCAATAACTTCTGCCGTTGCTGTTTTAAACATCAAAAGTTGCACCAATTTCAGACACTTTCCCTTGATGTGCTGATAATATTTAAGAAGTGCATATTTTACAGCACTTAGCTTCAAAATGTTCAGCCCCCCAACTCATCTGCCTGCCTGTTTCTGCTTAAGCACGTTGTGAATACGGTCTTAATAGGCTCGTATTTTCCATCAGAGCTCTCCTAAGATTCATGACCCATGGTGTAGCTTTACCCTGCTCTAACCTGGACTGAAACACAACCCACAAGGATTTGCTCCCTTTGGGGAGTCTCCTTTAGAATTTTATGGAGAAGACCCCACTTAGAGAGATTTCTTTAGGAATCTCTTGAAGAATGCAATGTATGGGACCTTCCCTCTACCACTCCACAGTGAAGTAGCAGTGGAGTTCTCCAGACTTACCTAACATGGGATGCCCTTGCTGTGGACAGTTTGATGGCTGATGTCCTGATCTGCAGATCACAGAATTTTTTCATCTTGGGTGAAATCTCTATCAAGCTACAATACAGAAGAGATGCACTGATTAAGGAAAATCAGCAAAAATCAGTGGTTCAAACAGCATCATCTCCCATATCCACCCCATGAAAATCCTGCACTGTTCCTCTCTCATGCAGATTCTGTGGCTGGGAATAATCAGTGTTAATTTTTCTTTTGAAACTGCTATTATTTCTGCCAGGGTAACTTTCTAACTATCTCTTTTTTGAAAGCCTACAAAGTTTTCAGGGGTGTGCACATTGTGGAAGAGTAATACCTTGGAAAACCTGTTGCAAAACCACCCAGGATAGTATTTCATGATCAAATACCTCTCCGTATTGCTCATATGGACCATATATTCCATCACAAAACAAATCACTAACATTTTCCCCCAGAAAAGAAGCACGTTTTCTGCCTTGCACTACCATCATCATACYGGAAAATGATGGCCATGAGACAGCAACGTCCTGAAGGATATTTAATTAACAGATTCCATATAACTCACTAGGCATTTCATAATTACTAATGGTTGTCATATGGAAGAAGCTCAGAAACCACGGATGGCAGTATTAAGACTCAAAGGAACTTCAGCTTGATTCCTCCTGTGCTTCAGCAGTTTGGTGGAGCAGATCTCACATATTTCCTTCCCTGAAGCCCTGAAGAGCAATTCATGCACTTGAGGGACATCTTGAAAGCCTCACACAGCAGTATCAATATCCTCCCGAGCAGATTTTTGTGCCTTGAAATCAGCTCAGAGGAGCATGGATGGGAGTAGTTCTCYGAGCATACAATTAGCTAGGAGCTGGTTTATGGTTGCTGCAAGTTCTACCCTGGTCTCCATGACCTGCAGGGACCGTTTCCAAAGTTGGGGGCCTCGGGGAGGAAGGCTGCACCTCCTCTTCCTAGGAGGCATCCCACCTTCACATCTGCCACGGGTACTACAGCCAAGATGATCAGATTGGTGGAATCAATGGAATGTGTCTGTTTTTAATGAGGAGAAAACAGCTAGAAACAACTTTCAAAGTGCCTTAAATGTAATTTTCTAAGCATAATTACAACATGTGCCCAAGGCTGCCCATCCYGACATGGATGAATGAACCTTTGCAAGAGCAGCTAGAAAACCACCAGCTCTCTGGTATCTAGCAGCAAAAGAAATTGCTCCAGGCTTCCTGTCCTGCCTCATGCGGAGCATCCTGCTGGGAAATACCATTAATGCAGCAGCCCCGCTGAGAGCGGAACCAGTCCCAATTCACCACACAGAAACAGTGCCTCCGTGCCAGGCACTTCCATAATCAGCTGTAAACATACCCTTTTCATTCGATTTTTCTGTGGAAAAGGATGTCTGTGTGATCTCACTATGGGCACCCCTTCTTTTTTTAACTTGAAGGCCATTTCTTAACCTGAAGGCCATTTTTTATCCATATACCACRGACCGATCTCTCAAAGACATTTGGATCCTAAGCAGACATGAGAGGAGAGGTTTAGCTGGAGAAATTCTACTCTTCAATCCCTTCAGAAACGCCTAATAGACTTTATTAAGCATCAGAATATCTATACAAGGGAGACGTTGGAAACTAGGCCTCATTACTTCCACTATGTAGCATAGACTTGAAAGCATATTGCAATGATCCAGCTGGGCAAGATGCTTCCACAGGTCTCACCACAAGGTCTGTGAGCAGTTAAAGACACTCTTCTCTATCTTGGTAGACACTCTTCTTTATCTTGGTAGAAATCTTGGCTTCTGCCAAAGGGAATTCTCATAATTTTCACCATACAATGCTCCAAGACCAGGGTTTGCAGTATAATGACATCTCAGATGTTTCTAAGCCGTCYGATTTAATTCACAAATTATGTTTATTTGCCCTGTTACAGCAAAAGGGCTTTACCTAGCGAAAGAGTTGATCAAGCCTGATGGGCCATCTGTGCATATCTAAATATAAGCACGGGTCCAAAGGTTCTTGTTCTGCACACAAGAATTTCTCTGTGCACATTAGAAACTCCCACATGGCCTTCATCAGTAACATGTCTGTGACACCAGAACATAAGACAGCTAGTCATACACAAGATACCCAAACACTGGAATATGAAGATGACTGGAGTATAAGGCTTGGTTTATCAARAGTCTATCAGAGGCAGATGCTCTGCAGACTTCAGTGAATACTTTGCATTTCAGTTCTTTTCAAACGTAGCTCTGCAAACGGTGAATAGTCCCACTGTTAATGACTGACTTGCTGTATTTATAGAAAGCCAGATGTTATTTAGCTATAGCGGGATTTAACAAGCAGTCTAAGAATTGAGAGGATTTTTTTTTTAATTCCCACCAACTGAATCATTAAAGTTCTGTTGTACCAACAGCCCCTAACACAAGGGCATCTACTCAACAAGGCTCAGTAGGATCAGCATAACACAGAACAAAAAGGTGATGCTTTTTCTAGGAAAAAAATAAAAATGCTATTTGGTGATAGGAGACCTGGGGTCAAATGGGAACAGACAATATTTGCAATAACAGGATTTTAGTTCCTATTAGTTCTGGGTACCTGTCAGAATTGCTTTTCTCCTAGCCAGCCACAGTCAAGACTCAAAAGCAGAGGCAAGGAACAGACAAGAGGTATAAGGAAAAATAAGCAAATGAACAAAGAATAAGCAAAGGGAAAAAATGAAAAAAAAAAAAAAAAAAAAAAAAAAAAAACCAAGCCTGCTAAAACTATTAAACAAAACTGAAGGTCTGTTGGCTCTGGCATGGATCAGATCCAAGCACTAGATATTGTTTTGATAATGCTGATAGTGGAGTGATGAGTAGCAGCTTAGGAAAATCTAGGTACTGAGCCTTCTCCTCCTCTCAMCCATGGAAGTTTGGTGTCTTACAAGCAGCAAACATCACACGGCTTCCATGGGGCACACTAACATCTCCTCCGGTGTTGAGTGGGCCTCGAAGGAAACAACCAGTCCTCAAAAACAGGAGATTTGCAAGCCTTTTAGCTCAGACCTCAAATGACAGCATCTTCCCCATCTGCAGGACAGGTTGCATGGTGTTTTCTTCACAGTGCTGCAATCCTCCTAGAAAACTACCTCTTATCCAGCTGTGCTGGTGCCAGGACTAACTCAAAACCAAAACCAAACCAAAACACCAAAAACACTGGTTCAGCTTGTGGTGCTCAGTCACTGGGAAAGTGGCATCACTAGCCTTAATAGCAGGCAAGACACTCAAGCCCATCCTCTCTCCCTGCCCTTCCCCTGCCCACTGCAAATCTCCCTTTTGAGAGTGAGGGAAATTTTGGGGACAAAAACAAGCCTCTCGTTAATCCTGGTGGGGAATGCTGCTCCATTTGGGAAAGGACTTGCAAGAGGGCTGTTTTCTGTGGAAAGTTGCATTTTGTCCCTGCCCTGAGTTTTATTTACAGACCTGAAGAGCAAGCATTGCTGCTCATTCTTAGTCAGCATCTCGCTGGGTATGTACAGAAATATCTGTATCGGAAATATCCCCTTTCGACAGCTTAAAAATGTTTTCTTTCCTCTGGCTCCAGCAGCAGCAAGAGGCTGACAAGCCTGCCTTTTTTTTTTTTTTNNNCCCCTTTTTTTTTTTTCTTTTTTATATTGGATAAGGCAGAAATTCATACCTTGATTTGTGATATACATAACTCACGCTATCAACTTGTCAACCCGGATTTAAAGAAAACGCATGATCACATCTCCTAGGGGACCCGGAAAGCACAAGCTGGAAATGGTAGGCCATCTGTCCCCTGATCAGGGAGAAGTTTGATGACAGGAGCTCTGTTTGCCCCAGTGCCTTTAACATCTCATTTTGCAGCTTGTCTTTCCTTTCTCTCTTTCTCTATCATGCTGTGTTTGCCCCACAGAGCAATCAGGACATCAACGGCCCATTTCTTTGGGTCCAAAAAGTGGCATGTTCAGCTAAATGCTATTCTTGGTCCGCAGATGAAGGCACTGGAAAATAGCTCAGAGGTTAAAAGGAAGCAAAGCAGGAAAATGCCATAAATTAGAAGCCAAAGAGCCTGCTGCCCTGTTCAATGAAAACAGTGTTTCCATTGTCAGGCAGCAAGTCATCATCTGACGGCTCCGTAACAGCAGCTATGAGCTAGTTCGTGCTCCTTATTCCTCACCTTCTGCTGCTTTGTGCTCAGTTGATTTTCCCACGCAGGACAGAGGAGCGAGGCAGACAGATGAACCTGCTGTTGTTAAGAGCCTGGTTTCCAATCTCAAAACCCTCCATTCACGCACCTACATCTGCACTTACACCTAAAATTGGTGCTTGACACCCACTGGAAAAGGGAAGCACCTACAGGCTTTCTGAATTGCTAATCAGCATGCAGGTGTTTAATTGCTGAATTAAGGACTTGCTTTTCAAAGCTGAGCTCCAAGAGTCTGCCTTTCTAGAACCAACTTTAGTACCATCTTCAGAGTTTATCTGTGGGAAAATAGTCTTATCTGGTTGTACAGAGTGACTTCCACACATTTTAACCACTGAGCGCCTCTGCCTTTGCCTAGTACCCATTCCCATTTTCCCCAGACACCACCCCTTCWGGGATGCAGGAGCGAAAATGGCCAAGGAGATGACTAAGAGCAATTTAAATGTATTTTAACTGTTGCTCCTGAAAGAACCCCCATAGATTCCTGTGCTTCTTGGGTTGATAGTTAGAGAAGACACACACTTGAATAGCTGTAGGTGATGAACTTTATACCTCTGGAAGACTTCAGTTACCATTTCAGGACAGCTTTCTATCAAGGGGCTCATTTATAGAGAAGATGGAAGTAGCATAAACTTCAAAGATCAGGCACCAATAGTACTCATGGCTGAAGTTAAAGCTGGAAGACATCAACCGTGATATAAGGCACAAGGTATTTAATTGTGAGAAGCAAGTAGTAGAGCAACAGATGTGCCAGAAAACACTGCAGCTTCTTTTCTCTAACATTCATGTAAATAGGACTGGAGGACTTTGTGGTTATTA